TACTTTCTCTTAGCTTATCCCCAAATCTTCTAGTTTGCAGCTGCTTTCTAACTTAGTTTGGGACCCTATTTAACCTCGTCAGCCCCAGCGAGAAACGCAGCATTCTCATCTCTGCTACCTCCATTTTGCTTTCAGCAGCTATCGTGAGGGGGATTGTTTCTAGGCCGTACATAATGGCTGGTCTCACGCAAGTTCTGTATACCTTGCCCTTGATCTTTGCAGACATATTTCTGTCACATAGGATGCTAGAAACTTTTCTTCACCCTTTCCAACCTGACTGCAGTCTCTTGCTAACTTCCGTGTGAATGTCTCCATCTCTATCCATTGTTGTCCCAGATATTTAAATTCTTGGACTTTCTTGATTTCGATGTTTTCCATACTAACACGTCCATCACCATCTCTTTCATTGACACACATATATTCCGTTTTACTTCGGCTGATCTTCATCCCTCGTCTCTCTAGGCCATGCCTCCATCTTTCTAGCTCTTGTTCGGCTTCCTCATTATCCTCAGTACACAGTACGTTGTCGTCAGCAAATAACATTGTCCACGGTGCTCCTTTTCTTAGGCCCTCTGTCAGTGTGTCCATGATTATGGCGAACAAGAAAGGGCTCAAGGCCGACCCTTGGTGTAGTCCAACCTCCACTTTGAAACCTTCCGTCGTACCGACTGCGCATCTCACTGTGGCCATGCATCATGCAGTGCCACAACTCTTCCCTCGGTACTCGGTCATAAGCCTTCTCCAGGTCTATAAAGACACAACTCAACTGTTTTTGCCCTTCCCTGTACTTTTCCGTCAGCATTCTAAGTGCGAATATGGCATCTGTGGTACTTCTACCAGGCATAAAACCAAATTGCTCCTCGCTAATCTGACAGCAGCTTCTCAGTCTTTTCTCCACCACTCGTTCCCATAGTTCCATTGTGTGACTCATTAGTTTTATACCTCGATAGTTCCCGCAATCCTGTGCGTCACCTTTGTTCTTGCATATGGGAACAAGTGTGCTAATTCTCCATTCCTCGGGCATCCTCTCTCCCGCTAGGATCTTGTTGAACAGCTTCGTCAAGTACTCGATTCCTGCATCCCCCAGGCTTTGCCAGGCTTCGATGGGGATGTTGTCTGGTCCCAGGGCTTTACCTTTTTTCATTTTCTTTAGTGCCTCCTTCACTTCGTCCTTTGAGATGTTCCCTACAGTTTCCTCGGTTAATGGGGGCTGTATGCTTCTTTTCTCTCTAGGGTTTTCTGCGTTCATGAGCCCTTCAAAATAGTCCTTCCATCTCTTCAGTACCATTTTCTCATTCGTTAGTATCCTACCATCTGCGTCCTTAATCATTCTGATTTGCTGTACGTCCTTTGCTGTTCTGTCTCTTTGCTTTGCCACTCTATACACAATATGTTTTTCCTTTTTTGATGTCTAGTTTCTTGTACAACTCCTCACTTGCTTCCTTCTTCGCTTTTGCTACTACTATTTTTGCCTTGTTTTCGGCCTCTCTATACTGTGATTCGCTACTGGGGTCTTTTTTCTTGTGCCATTCCTTCCAAGTCTCTTTCTTTCTGGCTACCGCTGCCTGCACTTCATTGTTCCACCATCATGTCTCTTTATCTACTTTCTTCCTTCCTGTTGACATACCGAAGACTTCTCTAGCTGTTTCTCTCAATACATTTGCAACATCTTCCCAGGTACCATCCAAGCCCCAATCCACTTTTGCCTCACCCTAAGCCTAAACTTGGTGCTCGGCTTCTCCTCCCCCAGCGCCCACCATCTGATCTTCGGTTCTATCCTCAGCTGTTGTCCTCGCCCGCATCTCCATTCCCATCTACTAATCACTACGTGGTATTGTTTAGCAACGCTTTCCCCTGGCTCGAACTTGCAATCTCGCGCTTCTCTCAGGTGTGTTCTTCGGCCCATGATGCAGTCAATTTGCGTCTGCCTGCCTCCACTTGTGTACGTGATCTTGTGTGATTCCCGCTTGTTGTAGAAGGTGTTTATTACAGCCATTTCCATGCGGTGAGCGAAGTCTACAATGTCTTGGCCCTCTACATTGCGTGTGCCATACCCAGACTTTCCCATCACTCTCTCGTCTCCTCCGTTTCCCTCGCCGATGTGTCCATTGAAATCTGCTCTAATGATTAGCCTTTCTTCTCTTGGAATCAACTGAATCAGATCATCTAATTTCTCCCAGAACTCCTCTTTATCCTCTCGATCGCATCCCACCTGTGGTGCATACGCTGAAATAATGTTTGACACCAATCCTTCTGTTTCCAGTTTCACACTCATTATCCTATCTGACATTCTATGTACTTCAAGCACGCCATTAATATGCTTTTCTTTCACCACCACACCCACTCCATTTCTTCCACTGACTTCCCCATGGTAGACTAATTTGTAGCCAGCTCCAAGTTCTCTCGCTTTACTGCCCTTCCATCTTGTCTCTTGCACACACAGTATGTCCAGCTTCCTTCGTGCCATCATGTCTACCAGTTCGCTGCTCTTCCCTGTCAT